TGTGTGTGTGTGTGTGTGTGTGTGTGTGTGTGTGTGTGTGTGTGTGTGTGTGATCAGGCGGGGGTATGGGGGGCGACCCCTCCCCCAGCAATCAATCAGTCAATATCAATCAATCAATCAATCAATCAATTAATCAATCGAAGAAAAAAAAAATGTGTCGGCACACGAACCTATAGTAACGAGAAGCCGGTCTGCAGGCAGATCACCCGACAACATGAATGTCAATCAGGCCAACGCTAATCAAGCGCAGGCTCACCAGGCACATGGAAGGGCAGGTGGCGGCCCAGTACTCCCCCCCCAGCCCGCCCCTCAGCTTGCACGTGTCAACGCTCAAGTAGCCCCGCCAGATCTGTATTTGTTTGACCGGACACACCATCTAGCAGGAGCGTGGCTTGCCACCCTCCGAGCACAACAGTACGATAATGACGAGGCAAGAATTAATATCCCCGTCCTATTAGGGGGTGATGCTCACCATTGGCTTAGCACCTATGTATGGACTGACCTCCCTACCTTTGAGAGAGATTTCCTCCACAAATTCGATTACACTCACCCGAAACAAGCGTTCTTCATGATCAAAGACCGAGTATAAAAGCCCCTCGAATCTATTGTGGAATATCGCAGTCGATTTTACTGATTGTTCGTAAAATCCCAGAGAGACGAAAAGGTAGGAAGAGACTTCTTCATAGACGGGCTCCAAAGTAGAGCAATACGGGCCAAGCTGCGAAAACAGTTTTCCCCCATTACCTTTACCATGACACAGATCATGGAAGCAGCAGAGGAGATAGAGCGAAAGTTCGCTGCCAGCTTCCTCGAAGGAGAAGACCACACTAAGGAAGTGGATTCCACGGAACTTACCCGAGCAAAGATGGAATTGGCCGCACTTCAGCACAAATTTGAAAATATGGGCTTTGTATCGGGACCCGTCACCTATCGAACAAGTGGCAACCCAAAGACCCCCTCTTGATCAGGGAATGGGACCCCTAGGGATAAGGGCGCCGGCACAGGTACCCGCCCCGACAGAGAAGGCGGGCGAATCGAATGCGATACTGGACCTCACGCGTACGTTAGTCAGCCTTATGCAAGAAAGCAAGTCTTAGAAGGAGCAGTGCGAGTATAATGCCCGGATGGAATCACTGATGCGCTCCATGCGTCCCATTAACGTTTGCGCCGCCCCCCTTCCTGCTAGAGCGCCTGCTGCCGCCGCCACGAGGGCTGGTACAGGCATGACTCCCCGAACTGATGCGTGCTACTCATGCCATTAACCTGGCCACATGGCAAGAGATTGTCCCCAGCGACAAGTATGAATAGGGGCAGCCCCAGTAGCGGCAGCCCCCCTGGCTAACGGACCTGGACGGGTAGGGATGGTAGTGGAGGAAATTGATGGAGCAATACCGACAAGAGTGGCTACCGACGAAGCTGCGGAGCTCATCCCACTAGATCAGTTCCTCTCCTTGGGATATCCGGGGCTGGGTATGATAGGGGCGATCCAGCTGGCGGATGACGAACGGGAGATCTCGGAGTGGCGACCATCCTCTGGTGGGATGGAATCCAGTGGCCCCGAGTTCATCACTGGAAAGATCGATGTGCTCGATATCGTTCGAGCCTTAGATCACCGCATCCCGCTTCCAATTGGGCACTTGTTGTCCATATCGGAACAAGCCAACGATTGTATGCTCCAGCATTGCAAGGCCAATCGAAAAAGATTCGCACTCACTAAGCTGGCCGCGGCGAAAGGAAAGTTTCCCGTAAAGGAGATAAGATCAGACATACCAGGAACTTTGAAACCCGTACACCTGGGGCTCATCCAAAAAAGCGATCACTTTCTACGTATTAAAGCTATTCCATGGAAATCCGCAGAATGCCACGTGGAAGTCTGGGGAGTCCCCTACAGTGCAATTCTACATTCCGGAGCAGCCGTAATGGCCATATTCCTACGGGTAGTCGAACGGGCGGGAAGAAGAAAAGATTTGATTCCACTCAACGAAGGAGACCGTCTGATCTCCGCAGATGAGGAAAAGATCAGAGCGGTCGGAAGGATGACAAATGTCGCTTTCCGGCTAGGAAAGGTCCACGCCTTGGGAGATGTAGTGGTACTCAATGTAACCTCATACGATGTGTTTGCCCTTCAAGCCAACCTGAACTTCGAGCGGCGGGAAGTGGTTCTCAGAAACACTGGTGGCAACCCATACACCCTCCCTATGTGTCTCACACTCCGCACGACGACAGGCGGGATGCGTAAGGACCATCCAAGCGCGATCGGGTCGATCCGAACGATCACGTGGGTGGAAAAAGAGGTTGGAACGACTGGCGAGGAACAAGCGTCTTTGCTTCTCGAAGATTCGGAAAGCGAAGATGAAACGGACCCGGTGATCCAGGAACTAACACGCAAGATAGTTAGTTACCCAGTCCGACAGAAAACGATGAAGACATTCGTAGAGAATGCTCAACGAACCCGGGCTCTGTTTATAGGAGAACCCCTTGTACAAGTATCAAGACTGCTCGATTCCTCGGAACCCCCTCGGACCTTGTACGAGGGCACTACCCCGTTGCTTCCCTGATACGTGGACAAACGGTCCTTCTGCGACGTTACAAAGTCGCCTCCCTGCTCGCTCCTCACCATGGAAAAAGAGATACGGTTGCTACGTCTAGGGGCAGAGATGCGGGGTCCGGAACCCCCTGGATGCCCCAAAGCCTCGCTGTTTGATGTCGGCATAAAGATCGCTGAAAAATCGGTGGACCCCCGGGACGTTGCGGATGGGATAACCCCCGAAGAACACGCGACCATCCGTGAAGAGGAAGCTCAGATGGTGGCCAATGTGTTCTCATGGCGGTCGGACAATTCTTTCACTTCTTCCCCACCGCCCCGGGACTCAAAAGCCATACGCACCAAACACGTTACGGTTGTCATTCACGAACAGCCCTACGAATTACACGTGCCGGAATACGTTCCCGACGAAACCCATAGACTCATAGCAGAAATTCTAACGGAGTACCGGGGCGCTATCAGCATCGATGGCGCGGATATAGGATTATCTTTGATAATCCAGCACGAGATTCAAACCGGTACCCACCCGCCGATTCATTGCAAGCCTTATCGGTACTCACTGGCGGAACGAAAGGCAGCCCTCGAGCGCATCCGTGAGTTCGAAGCTAACGGTTGGATAAAACCCGCTACGAGTCCGTGGTCTTTCCCGGTAGTTTTGGTCCCAAAGAAGAACAGATCGAATGACATCACTATCAAGGGTGTATATCCCCTCCCTTGGATTGATGATTTGCTGGATGCAATTGGGTGTGCCAACTATTTTAGTAAGTTTGATATTCGACACGGGTTCCACCATATCCTTGTACGAGAAGAAGATCGGCCGAAGACGGCGTTTGTACTGTTTGAAGGCACGTGGCAGTGGATTCGCTGTCCTATGGGTATATGCAATGCACTGGCAACCTTTCAACGGGTGATGAATGTCACCTTCCAGAACTTCGTGAACAAGACCAGATTAATCCAGGGAATTATCATTTTTTGTGTCATCGTGTATATGGACGACATTTTGGTGTATTCTAAATCGTTCCGTGGGCACGCGCAGCACATCGAATGGACACTTGGCGCGCTGCGGGACGCTGGTTTCAAGATTGCATTGGAGAAGAGCGAATTTTTCCTGTCCGAGATCTCGTTCTTAGGCGACATGGTAACCCGAGGAGGCTTGAAACCGGATTCGAGGAAGGTCGAGGCAATTCGGGAAGCGCCCATACCCACGTCATTGACACAAGTTTGAGCCTTCCTCGGACTGGCTTCGTACTACCGGCGGTTCATCAAGGGATTCGCGGCAATCGCTCGGCCTCTGACGAACCTCCTGCGGAAGGACCAGCCACTAAACTGGGACGCGGAGTGCAATCGCGCCTTTTCCATTGAAGGAGGCCTTGGCCTCGGCGCCTATTTTAATCCGACCCGATCCCGAGCGTCAGTTCCTACTCATTACTTACTGGCAGCCTGAAGTGATATCCGCTATCCTAGCATAGAAAGGGGAAAATGAGCGGGAGCACATGGTCGAATACGCTTCGCGGACGGTGCCGGACGAGAGAAGGAACGACTCGGCACCTCAAGGGGAGTGCTACGAGGTGGTCTAGGGAATCCAGCACTTCCACCCGTATCTCTAGGGGCGAAAGACAGAGAGGCACGAGAACGCGGACGGATTGACACGTCTGCACAGGCCGGGCAAGGTGCCACGTGCCGAGGAGATCACTCCGTGGAAGGAACCGGAGCCGCCCAAGGGACCCGGGTACAGGCAGGGGAAGGTTCTCTCCCGACAGAGGAAGAAGTGACACGTGTCCCCATGGCGGCCCAGGGGAAATGAAATGCTGAGGGTCATCTCGCTCCTTCCTCCTCTTCTTGATTTTCCCTACCCGATCGTTATTGTCTTCTCTGTGAATCCATTTCACGGGTCCATTCTGTTTCAGTTAAGGCATAGAGCGAGGGGTACGTCGAGTGGGTAGAATGTGCTAAGTGTGTAGCAAGAGCCCACAGGTCGTGTATCCAGTATAGGAATCCTCAGAAACCATGGCTTTGTCACCTGTGCCGTATTGATAAGATTCCGACGGAGACTCGATTCCTGGACGCGACGTCGGAAGGTTTAGAAAAGACCCTACGGTTTAGACGGGCGGAGGTATGGACAGATGTCGTCCTAATAGCCACAGTTGCCGGAAATTCTCTCCGAGACTTCTCTAAGGAGGAACGGAGAAGGGCCAATGAGAGGGCACGGGATTATAGGTGGAACGAGGGATGGTTAGAGAAAAGGAAAACGGACAGAAGCGGAATCTGGATGGTGGTACCCCACCCGTTCGCGAGGTATGACTGGGTACGGGCCGCACATGAAGAGACGGCCGCACATTTCGCTGACAGAATTACTGAGGCAGCCATCGATAAAAATGAGTGGTACTGGTCCAATATCCGAGACAACGTTAAATTTATAGTTAAAAATTGTCCCGTATGAGCCGCCGACAAAGTGCTGATTCAGCCGCCTAGGTCGATAGTGCCCACTGACACAGTAGTCCAACGACCATTCCAGAGGGTTAGCATGGATACGACGGATATCGTCGTGCCCCCTGGACCGAATAGCTTCGAGTATTCAATTCTTTTGGTATTCGTGGACCACTTTTCGAAGTGGATCGAGGCATATCACTGCCGAACAAGACAGACGGCGAAATAGCGCGATATGTCAACCGTTTCATCGGCATGCACCAGGATACCGAGGAAATCCTCACAGACAATGGAGCGGAAATCTGACGGGAAGTCCTGAGGAACCTGGTCGTACATGGGGTATCTATCCGTAATATTGCCCCCCATATGCCTCAATCGAACAACCTCGTAGAAAACGCCAACCGAGTAATTAAAACGACACTCTGACGGAATATTGCAGCCAAGGACAAGCGGCGGTGGCCTGATATTGTAGACCACATCCTGACCATACATCGAGGTACCCCGCATGAATCCATGGGACTTTCGCCATTTCAACTACGGACCAACAGCCTAGCTTGCATCTCGATACCGAACCTAAACGACGAAAGGACCCTTCCCCGAAGGGCCACTAGAGCGACGGTTAGAGACAAGGCCCAACGTCACTTAGATTTGATGGAAAGGGCCCTCCCCCATTTAGCCCGGAAAAGACACCGTATGACAGAAATAGCCCATGGCCGACAGGTCCGAAGCTACGAGGCCCGGAATGGGAACGCGGGCCCCCGGCCCCAGTATAAATTAGGGGACTTGGTGCAGGTAAGGAAATGTGCTCGTCAAGGGAAACTAGCGCCACAATTCTTCGGGTGATTCCGTGTAATCGAACTCGGGCCTAACGGAGTGAACACCGTGCGCCTCTCTCCCGAAGTGGCAGGAAGCCGGTCAGCTAGACCCATAGTTCGCCACGTGTCCTACCTTCGCCATCTCTCTGCTTCTTCCCTTCCCCAAATGGGTCGCTCTCGGAATCGGGTTCCGCTTGGGAAAGCGACGCCCCCCAATCTTATTTTTCTCTCCCTTCATCCTCTCCCTCCTCTTCGCCATGAGTTTTTCCATGGAGCAGGTACTCAGTGAGTGGATGTTAGCGCCACGCGGACACATCTCGGCGATCAAGCAAGTTCATCATCCGCGTGTCAGCCGGGACGTCCTCCGATTCGCCCAGTTTTTCAGCACAGCCAGCGTGCATGCGGCACCAGAGTTCCGATCCGTGATACCAAACAGCAAGGCACAGGTGTTGGCCGAAGCCTCGGCCTTTCTGCGACTCTCAGCACCGGGAACCAGCCACGTTTTGACGATTGTCTCCTTTAGCGGAGACATCACCACGGTGGATCCGCGAGCGCATCCTAGCATCCTCGGCTCGCTGCGAGATTGGGGGGGGGAGTTGGCAAGTTCTTGGAGTCAGCTGCTTGCGCAGCAAGGGGATAGCGTGGTCAATACTGACAACATTGACCTGGACGGCATCCGCACTCTTCGGCAGAATCCTGCGATATCTCTCCCTGCACTTACCGTCTTCTCGCGTCCTCAATGAACCGTCACAAGTTCTCCATTTTCAACCTCGCCTCTACCTTCCCCGTTTTCTGGCAGTCAGCACTTCTCCCTCGCCTCTCTTTTCGAGTACAGCCACTAACGGTCCCTCTCATCAAGTCTGAACAGTGGCAAGGGTGGTGGCAAACTTATGAGGCGCTCTCTCCGTGCTTAGTCGAGATTAGGCTGAAGTGGACCAGAGACAAGTTTCACCCCGCCGCGAACGAGGACGTGGAGTTACTCATCATTCAGGCCTGGAGAACGACGGTGGAAGGAGATTTATTGGGATTCGTCTTCGGATCGGTGGAGGCGGGACATCGACAGCTGATCGTCAAAGAACTCTTGATCCTCTTGACGCAGCTGCTGGACGACTTGCCAATCGACATCGTCTCGCACTGCGATGAGAGTCCGGCGCCGCATACTCTTCCGTGCACTTTGACACCGTATCTACAGTGGTCGGCATGCTTGGAGGGTGGTGAGGACAACAGTAGTTACCCGTTACACGGTAACTACCTGAACCCCGAGGGGATAGTCGACCTTCTCTTCGTGGATCGAACGTCGGAAGAAGAAGAGGAGGAAGAAGAAGAAGAGGAGGAGGGTGACGAATCGGAAGACACCCCCAAAGAATACGAGTATTACAGCGAGCACAGTGAGCATGAGTCGGGGGCAATAAGTGAAGAAGAGGAGGAGGACGAAAGCAAGGAAGAAGAGGAGGGACAGGTGGGGACACAGGAAGAAGACCCTGCTGTAGCCGAGCGACGCCAGGCAGAAATCGCGGAGGGAAAACGGACGTTGGAGCAGGTGGCGGGGGCTGATTTGCCGATCCCGGACGATCCGACCAGAGATCAGGAGCCGCCAACGGAGTAAGATGAGTGCTGCGCCGCAGAGACTTTGAGCGCGCCGACACGAAGGCAGCGAAGCCGATCCCCCACCTCCTCCCCCTCCCCCCATCCCTCAGTTCGAGCACGTGCCGATGCGGGGCATCAGGCTACGTCCCTGGTCATTATCCCGTCGTCCCCTTGATTACCTTACGTTCTAGCAAATAGACACCCCACTCGTCTTTCCCCATAATCCTTTCCCCTCCTCCCTCTTCTACCAGTTCTACACCACCCGCCTCGCCGCCACAATATACTCGCACCCCACCACTCAGTGCGTTTTTTCCTCCTTTTGCCTCCACATCCTTCTCTTCAGCGCCGCATGGCGGGATCACAATGTGATCGAAGTTTATTGCATAATCCCAGGGATTATCCCTGTGTGTACGGACCACGAGCAGTTCCGCGCGGCCGTGCTTCGTACCCTTTCCACTCTCTATCCTGATTACCTCGCTTCCCTCCCCTATGGCAGCCATCGCTTCCCGCTCATACACCACACTGTCCAGTACCTATAGCTTCCCGCAACAGTAGCAAGGATGACCAGCTTCTTACCCACACTCCCAAAAGAACATCCCCCACCACTTGCCCCCGCATTCCGACTCCCCTACCCCCCCACCTCGGAACACTAAAACGATTGCAAGGATCAAGACTTTTCAACAGGATGACTTCCACACTCTTATCCCACGGTTATGACACGTGCACCTTGGAAGGATATGAGTGCAAGCGGGAGCTTGCACAAGATTGGAACCCCTGGGCGTCACATATGTGACGAACTATCTTTTGTAATCGCGCGACTTCCTGCGTGGGGCTGCTGTGGGGAAACGGGAGCATCTTGATGGGTGACGGGGAGCACGCGGGATCGGAGGGGCAAGTTGCCTGGATGCCCTCGCTTCTTTTTTCGTTTTCGATGGAATTGTCGGGCCGGTGCTGGGAAGGTCCCGCGCCGACGATTATGTAACCGCGCCCTAGCGAGCGCAAGAAATAACGGTTGCCAGGTCCAGCGCCGACGATTATGTAACCGCGCCCCAGCGAGCGCAAGAAATAACGGTTGCCATAGCTTCTTTCTTGTTCTGCTTTGCTCACTAGGAATTTTGGTGCGATCAGCGCAGAGGGATTTTCGTTTTTTGTTTAATTCGAAGTTAGGTCGAGCCTTCCCCGCAGGCTCTCGGAATTGCTTTTTCCTTTCCTTCTTTTTTCCCTTCGGGGCTTTCTCTTGCAATTAGGAATTAGACTAGGAATTTAGGCACTTTGTAATTTGGCGGCACGACGCTTCTTGCTTGCACGTGCCGTGACCCGACAGGGTCTGGGCTCTCAGCTGAATCCATCCGCGCCTTAATCGAGTGTGTAACTGTAGTTTTTGGCGGGCGCAATCGCAACTGTAATCTTCTTGTTCTTTATGGCCTTTTTCCTTCTTTCCCGCCTCGTCTTCGCATGCACACTCTTCCTCTGTTCTGAGTGGTTCCCACAGTTGCATGCCCAGATCGATGCGCGGAGAGAGGCTTCGTCCCCCACGTCGAGGCCTGGGCATGCAGACGTAGGCACTCCCTCCCTTCTCTTTCTCATCACTTGGTGCTAATCTCGTATCCCTCGCGCAAGCATGCATGCTATAAATTTTGCAAGCGCGATTAGTTCTCTCTCTAACCTACTTGGGAGTTAGCGCGGTCAAGAGGATCGGCTAACGAGCACAAAGACGGTGAGTAGAGAGTCGGGCGATCCGACGAGATGGCGTTGAGTGCGTGGGGTTGACGCGTGGCCACGACGGACTGTGGCACATGGGCGAACCTGGCTTGCATACTCAGGCCAAGCGGGGTGACGACTCGGGTGGATGTTGGAGGTGCGGGGTGACGGACTGCCCGCGGAGAGAGAGAGAGAGAGAGAGAGAGAGAGAGAGAGAGAGAGAGAGAGAGAGAGAGAGAGAGAGAGAGAGAGACGGGGATATGGAGGAATAGTGTCTATTCTCGCTGATGTCTGTATAAATTTTGATTTCGACGTTGGTCAATTTTCTCTTTTTGCTGCGACATCCTTTTTGGAATCTCTTGAGTAAATCATCTCGGACTTTTTGTTGTATGTATGTATGCAGAATGACGATAAATGAACTCGTATCCTTTTTCTCTGAGTTGTATTTTTTATCAATGATTACGGAAATTGTTGGGTGTGTATGCTCGTGAATATCCAAAAGTCATTTCCACCCCAAGAACGAGATTGATTGCCTAAGGGAACTAGCTGCGTGGATTGAACCGGTAAGTTGACGGATCACTCCTTGCTTATTTGGGCAGTTTAGGATCTGATCAACTGGCCGGTGCGCACGCACGTGTAAGACAGCAACCGTTCGCGGACTTGCCATCTACACGCGCGCCTGCAAAAGCCAGCTACGATCTCGCCCCATAGAAAGATGTGTGTGCATAGACTCCGTTGAGTGAGACATGGCGATAGGATCCCCTTTTTGAATCACCGATCGCGAAAGCCTGAGGGACCCAGAATATCGAACGTATTGGGAGAGGGAAGAAATCCGCCATCAGCGGATCGGACAACATCGCCACCTACGGACTATGAAACACCCGCGGACGTGTCCGCGGGGCTGATCTCGGATGGCGGCCCCATATGTGGCCGCGTCCGCGGCCGTCTTGGTCCGCGCCGCGGACCCGATTTTACCAGGAGTTTCCTGAATTAAATAATAGGTAAAAAACAAATAAAAAAATATGGGGTTGTAGGGAATTTTAAGCCCTACAACCCCATATATTTATTTTTGGAATCCGACTTTGTTTAGGATTTTTAAAAAATCAAAAACTAAACTGGATTTAAAAAAAAAATTAAAAAAATATATATAAAAAAAAGTAGGAATTTTTTTTTGTCATTTTTTATCATGAGATATATCGCCCCTTAGTTGACCTGCACTTTTTTTAGAAATGAATTTCTGTTTTTTGCAGGGGTATGAGGTGTTTTAAAAAAATGCAGATGCAGAATTTCAAAATAAATAAACAAAAAAGGGGTTTAATTAATTGATTGATTGTGAGTGAGTGAGTGAGTGTGTATGCGTGTGTGTGTCTGTGTGTGTGCACGTGTGTGTGTGTGTGTGTGGGTGTGTGTTGTGTGTGTGTGTGCGTGTGTGTGTGTGTGTGTGTGTGTGTGTGTGTGTGTGAGAGAGAGAGAGAGAGAGGCAAAGATTAGGTAAGTGTGTTTGTGTGTGTGTGTGTGTGTGTGTGTGTGTGCGATGCCGCCGCTGCTGTGCCGCGCCCTCGCCCGCGTGCGGACAACGCACTTTGTGTGTGTGTGTGTGTGTGTGTGTGTGCGGGTGCGTAGTGGGTGGCGGGGGAGCGGGCCGACCCCTCCCCAATCAATCAATCAATCAATCAATCAA